GGGGTCTTTTACAAACACTGAAACCTGTAAGTGAAAAATAACTAAAGTGAAAAATTGCAAAAATGGCCTTGTTGGATTTTTTTTGCAGTTGTAGGTTTTCCTCCTCTTAGAGATGTATACTGATTGGTCCTCATTTCCATGTTGTAGGTGGACAGTTTAAGACGTGCATGTCTCCTCCTTATATCATTTTATTTTATTATAGGTAGTTATATAGCGCCGACAATTTACGCAGCACTTTACATAGTTGCACATAGAGCTGCAGCTAACGATTATTTTCAAAATCGATTAGTTGGACGATTATTAAGTTCGATTAATCGGATAAAAAAATTAAATACATTTTAAAAAATGGCTCCAGTGATGGACTACTAGTTTGTATTGAGATTGTAGTCCATCACAGGAGCAAGCTTGGAGCGGTGGAAGTAAAGAAAAGGAAAAAAAAAGTGTGGTGTGCAATATAGTGAAATGAAAAGTGTAAAATTATACAGCAATTAATGTAGAATGGCACCGCCTATTAAGGACTACAAAACCCAGCAATAGTACATTATACAGCACAATGCAGAATACCACCAGCTATAGAGGAGTACAACAAATCCCAGCAATAGTACATTATAGCTGGTAGTATTCTGCATTGCGCTGTATAATGTACTATTGCTGGGTTTTGTAGTCCTCTATAGCTAGTGGTATTCTGCATTGCGCTGTATAATGTATTATTGCTGGGATTTGTTGTACTCGTCTATAGCTGGTGGTATTCCGCATTGCGCTGTATAATATATTATTCCTTGATTTGTAGTCCTCCATACAGCGCAATGCAGAATACCACCAGCTACAAAGGAATACAACAAATCCCAGCAATACATTATACATACAGTGTACAATGTATTGCTGGGATTTGTATTCCTCTATAGCTGATCTAATATACATCACAATGTACCATCAGGTATAGAGGAATACAAATCCCAGCAATACATTATAGAGCACCATGTGTGGGAAAGTGCAGGCTTAACTGAGCAGTCTTCCAGCAACTTGTTTCTGAGATCGGGCCTATTGGAAGCGGCTGTCATTCCCTCACGCCTGCTCCTCCTTACTTCTTCTCCCGCTCACCTGTGCCGATCGTGGATTTGGGCGAGCACTGAGTGTGAGGCGGGAGGAGGTGTGGATGCGGGCCTGGCAGCGGCGAGCGTGAGGTGGGGAGGAGGTGTGGCGTGCAGCGTGTGTGGAGCCGTGAACAGGGCCAACCAATCGGAAGCCGATTAATCGATTATTGAAAAAGTTGACAACTTTTTCTATAATCGATTATGTCTATTAGTGGTTGCAGCCCTAGTTGCACATTCACATCAGTCCCTGCCCTCAAGGAGCTTACAATCTAAGGTGCCGATCTCGCATACAGGGCCAATTTAGACAGGAGCCAAATAACCTTCCAGCATGTCTTTAGAGTGTGGGAGGAAACCACGCCAGCACAGGGAGAACATGTTCATTTTAAACAAGCATTAGAAGTTTATTCGTCATTTGAATACTGTTTTAAAGTATTTTGGGAGAGCATGTAGAGTATTAGTTCTGCAGTTATAAATATTCGATTGGCACCTCTAATCCACTGTGTTCCATCACCATCCTCCAGTGTGTAGAAAATTCAAACCTCAAACATTTCAAACATCACAGCAACAATGGTTAATTTTTATCCTCTAAAAAGCAAAGGGTCAAATACCATTTTTAGGTAATGAGTCTTATTTTGCAAGCATTGAATTAAAAGGGTCCCTGTTTAAAAGCAGTTCTTCTTCTGTTTATGTTGCATTAGCGGCCTAAATAAATTCCTGTAAATAAGAGTAAAACTGGCTATACACCAGTAGAATTTTGCTCAAAAATGTTTCTATTTTCTAATCATTAGTAAGGTTAAATCGATTTCGATCACAGTTCTGAGAAATTCAAAAGGGCAGGATGGAAAATATTTGTCCAACAAAACTAACAGTAAATGTGGTTTTCATTTGGGGAAACTCTACTCATTCTAAAATCGAATGTGATCAAACAATATTTTTGAATGACGTTCTTCATGCCTTTGATGGTATTATTGAAGGTTGTGACAAGATTTTATGTATGAAAAATATACCAGTGTATTGCTAGCTTTACTCAATAATGAAGTATCCAGCAGGAGCCCTCTTTCCACTGTAAACTAAAAGAAAAAAGCATTTACCTTTTATAAATAGAATAACAGTGATCTTTGTCTTAATTGTACTTTTTTTGCGCTGTTAAACTTACCATTGAAAGTGTTTTTATATATCCGTTTCATAAGTTCACAAAAATACCTGTTGATCTTCTAAATCAGACCTTCTTAATCTGTGGGTCGCGACCCCATGTGGGGTCCCGCAAGTGAGTGGGGGGGTCGCGATCGAAATTCCACAGCCATCAGAGGGTTTCAGCAGGTACTTGAGTGAGGTGCCCATGCAGCCTGGAATGTCCGGGCTCCAAGAAAGTTTTTTTGTTTGTTATAGTAATGTGTGTCGTTTACTGTGTGTACTGTATGTTATTGCCTGCGTTCTGTTCTACTGCAAACACAGAAAATGCTGTATGCTCTATTTTTTTGCGTTTGCAGTGGAACAAAATGCAGGCGATGTTTTGCCACCCGTCCGATCGCACTGTGGGCAGGGGGGCTTGGCTGCGGTGCCACTGACTTCAATGCACTGCCACGCCCTCTCCCGCCCCAGAACGCAGGGGGACGTTTTAGTTAGCGATTGCGGTGCGTTACAACAGCTACGGCTCTGGAACGCACCGCAATTGGTGTAAACAAGCCCTAAGTAAAACACACACAAGCTTATTATAAAAAGTATATATACTATTAATCACAATTTCTCTAATCATCCCACTGCCCACACAAATGCTGAATTTCTCCCACATGCAGTGCAGGAACACAATTTTCCAGTGAGGTGCCACTAGACTTTTTTTTTTTGCCCAGTGCACCACACCACCGCACAGCACTTCTAAGGACCCGTTCACACCAACTGCGGTGTGTTCCAGAGCGGTAGCTGCTGGAATGCACAGCAATCGCACACTAAACTCCCCCCTTCGTTCTGGGGCAGGAGGGGGCACAGTGCGATTGGATGGGTAACAAAACATTGCCTGCGTTTCGGTCCAGTGCCAACACAAAAAAATGCAGCTTGCGTTGGCACTGGACGTCCGATCGCACTGGGGGGTGAGCATGGCTGCGGTGCCATTCACTTCAATGCACTGCCCCCTCCCGCCTTAGAAGGGTGGAGTTTAGTGTGCGACTCTGAACACATCGCCGTTGATGTGAACAAGCCCTAAGACACCACACAGCCCCCGTCTTAGCTGACTGTCTGCATTACCTGGAAGTGTTGGCGGTTGTAAGCTGCAGAGAATCAGCAGTAAATCAGGGAGGAGATGAGTTTAACACCGGGGGGGAGGGGATACTGTGAACTCTGTGAGTGTTAATAATTATATGGAAGTTTTATACTGTTATTTTTTAAAATAAATGAAACATAAAAATATATATCTCTCCTCTCTCTCCCCTGGCTGTCTCTCCTCACTTCTCTATATTCTCCCCCAAAAAATTGTCGGCGCTGAAGTGTTCGGGTATCGCATGAAGAAAAGGTGACAACTCTGGGGGGTATGGAAGGAGGAGAGCATTATTTTCGTGCTGAGTGCACCACAATACTATTTTTACTATGGATCCTATAAGACAGTTTGGGGGACACAGACTGGAAAGTGTTACATTTCTTTTGCCTGCTGGATGAATCCTTAGGGCCCATTCAAACCAATTGCGGTGCGTTCTAGAGTGGCAGCTGCTGGAACGCACAGCAATTGCTCACTAAACTTCCCCCTTCGTTCTGGGGTGGGAGGGGCCGTGGCGGTGCATTGAAGTCAATTGGTGTGAATGGGCCCTTAAGGGCTAGCTCACACCATCCTCAGTGTGTTCCGGCCCAATTGCGGCCAGAACAAACTGGATCGCATTGCGGCCAGCTCAATTTGTTGTGGGGCGTGGCAGTGAAGGGAATGGCACCGCAGCCACACCCTCCGGCCACAATGTGGTTGGCCGCACGGGAACGCAAGGCACATCAATGCCTGAGGTCCGGTCAGTAAAAAGGCTGCAAGCACTATTTTTTTGCAGGCATTGATGTGCCATGCATTCCCGTGCGGCCGAACGCATTGTGGCCAGAGGGCATGGCTGAGGTGCCATTCACTGCACCGCCACGCCCCATCCCGTCCCACAACAAATTGAGCCGGCCGCAATGCGATCCAATGTGTTCCGGCCACAACGCACTGATGATGTGAACTAGCCCTAACTGTAGGCACTATGCTGTCATGCAAGCAGTCGGACACAAATTTTTCTTTATTACCAGTAAATGTTTCATTTGCATATCTTTTCTATATACCTGGGGTCACGTACAAATTTCCTTGGATGAAAAGGGGTCACGAGTGGAAAAAGTTTAAGAAGGCCTGTTCTAAATAATGATCTCCTATATTGTGAAGAACGGGATAGATAGTTTAAGTAGTTTAACAATAGACAGCTGGGCAGGGCTGATACCATCTAGTCCACAAAAATGCAACAGCATGACTTTGGAGCTGGGTATATTTCCAGCACATCAACGGGTATTCTGTACTTTTTTTCTCCTTTTACATACATTTTGTGTCCCTTACTAACAATAAAGACTCACTACCTTGCATCACCAATGCCCATACTTATTACTCCCACTTCTAACTGCTATTACGTTAATGCCCTTGTTCCATTTGATTGAACTGCATTGTGGGAAGGGCAGGGAAGCACTGGTATTTTTAGCAGGGCTCTAGCAATGACCTGAGTGGCAGATGGGAACAGTGAAGATAGACATTAACCTTCTGTACAACATGGGGTGGGTTTTATTTTAGTACAGTTGTGTTTTTAACTATTCAGCTGGGTCTGTTGTGAATGAATATACCGTAGTTTTCAGCTGTATTCCAGTTTCAATTCTACTTTGCTTATTCTGTTTATTCCTTTTCTCTTTTCAACACAGAAGACACGTCAGCGTCTGAAACACTTGGGTCCAGTGCGGCAGCCTCTGCTCAACGGGCTGAAATAATTCACCCAAACATCTCCAAGTCTTCTAAACCTGCCGCATGTCTACCTCCACCTTGTAATAGTGCCAAGCGCAGCTACCAGGTCCGTTGGCGCACCGAATTCATGATGGATTATGACTGTCGTCGGCAGGGCCTTATTTGCATGGTGTGTGGTGGTACACTGGCCACCCTAAAAGTCAGCACCATCAAGCGCCACATTGTCCAGGTGCACCCTTACTCTGTAGACTTCACCCCTGAAGAACGTCAAAGGATTTTGGAAGCCTACAGTGAAATGGCCCTACATTACATCCATTCAGAAGAGTGTTTCAAAGCCCAACCCCAGGAGGAAGTGAAAGGCCGTAAAAGGAAAGCGGCTGCGGTGGAGGAAGCATGAGGACCCTTTAATTTATACTTAAGCATAGGGAGAACTGTCTACACCCTGTGGCCTAAGAAAATGTATTTCTACAAATGTATTGCACATTTATAGAGTGTCTGTTCATTCTATTCATTCCTTTTGTACAAACAAGGAGAGGTTGGAAAACCCTCTTCCTTAGAGTCTTTCTCTGAGACTGCATTTCACCTTCACTAAAAAATGAACAATGCATTGCTTCATCACTTATGTCAGCAACCTTCTTCAAGCAGGCTGTAACTATGCACCTCTGTTTCATCAACGTGACCTCCCAGTTCTACATCTACCAACCAGACTTTAAAACTTGTGTTTTTGTCTTTTGTAAAAACAAAGCAACGATTGCAATCATTTTATAATCCTTAATTTAAACAGTCAGGCTTAATTTCCCAAAACTAATATAATTGTTCATTACAACTTTTACTTTCTGAGTACCCTTTGACAACTTCAGGTTTTCTGTTAAAACAGAAAAACAAATCTTTTTACATATTGGCTAAAGAAAAACTATGATGCAAAGTACATTTCAGAAAAAAAGCTGCATACATTTTCATCTTTTAATCCTTTTTATGTATTGTTTTTCTCACTCATACATGTAGTCATTTATTTGCTAGACCAGGGAATGTCACCCCAGTGGAAGACGTAAGCAGTTTATGCCTGGTGCTTAAATGGAACTATTTGTTATATGACACATGAATTTTACATGACTTTGAAAGGGATTTGTAATCAGTCAGTTTTCTTTGCTCCTATCCCTCATCGCACTTTCCCCAGTAAACATGAATTTCAGAAACTGAGTTTGATACCAAAAGTATTGGTAGCGTACTTTGGGACCTTTTTTAGTTTACTCTTCTGATTATTTTATTTTGTTGAGACGTATGAAAACTGTGCTCAATAAATGGAATGAAGCAAGATATTGTGTTATGTAAATTGTTGTGGTCAGAGTTACTTAGGCTTCCGAAGTCTTCATGACCCCTACTGATACCAACCTGATGTGTGCCATGATTTTGTGGTCAGCGTGCCAAATAAGGGGGCACGCTCTAGTGAAATGATAGAACCTGGGGAAGGGGGGGAGGGTCAGACGCGCCCTCGCTGTGACGTGACGAGGAGCTCCCTGTCACCCTTCTTAAGGGGAGGAGAGCCGCCGCAACTCCTCCCACAAACACGGCCAAGATACCTTGGCCTATTACTTGTCTTTACAACCCAAAAGCTCACAATATTTGTGTACACTGGGAAAAAAACTGTAATGGGTCCTGGAGTCATGCCTTTTCTGTTATTTAATTTATAACATTTAGTAACTGAACACAAAATTCAATCGCTGGGCACAAAAGACTTTATAAAATCATAATAAAAACTAAAACCACCTGCAGGTGACCACAAGTTAGTGTGGATGTCTTGTGGAGCATTAGAGGACCCGAGAAAACAGGGTTTCTATTACAGAAAGAGCAACCAGCTTCCATGGTCTCTGGATCTCCATTACCCCCTCCCACCTGCACATTACTTTTGGGTTATTACCGTGAAAGGGGGCCCATTAACCAGTACTAAGCTGCAAGTGGTGGCAGTGAACAGCAACCATGAAATCTGGTTACATCAAGGTCAGGCTTTACCTTGTTAAAAAATGTTATCTCTTTATGTTATGTTATGCTATATGAAACAAAATAATGCTATATGAAACAAAATAAATACTAAGAGTTCTTGTTTCATATAGCAACTAGTCATCATCCAAATGAAATCTTATAGTGGAAGTTTGGACAACAAAACAAGTTAAACTTTAGCACACTTGTCCATATACATTGCATCTTTAATTGTATCTACTTTATGACCGAATATTTTTTTTTTTATATTTATACATTTAAAATAAGAATGATCATAGAGTTCTGTACCATTATGAAATTGTCCTGCAGTAATAAAATGTACTGCTATGGTAAAATGAGCAGCTATTAATAGAAATATTATAGGAAGCTGGCCATACACCTATAGATTATCTGCAGATTTTATTTGGTCAGATGAAAGCCAGCGGGGCTGACTAGTAAGATACTGAAGCTTGACCCATCGGGAGATTCCTCCATCCACACAGTTTAGCATAGATGCACTTTTTCCATCTGACCATAGAGAATCTGCAGATAATCTATAGGTGTATGGTCAGCTTTAGAAGAGCATACTAACATGAACAGAGGATGATTGACCTCCTCAAAAATTGTTGCATCTTATCTCTTGTAGAAAGAGGACCTGATGAGAAAAAAACATTGTTGCAGATGGCCTGATTTTATACAGTTTTTAATATATTCCTCTGATAAGCCATTATTTTAAAAAAAACATTTTTTAAATGTCTTTAACACCAAGAAATTGACCAAGCCAGCGATTTTAACTAGGGTATACACTGGTAGATTTTTTGACCGAACGTTCATACGAAAAATCTTGATGGAACATTTGATAATCGCATCAGAAACTTGACAAATGTCTTTCGAAATTTTGTTTTGATTTTTTTATTTTAACATTCAATTTTAGGAATTAATGGAGTTTCCCAAACCAAAAACACATTCACTATTCGAATTTTGTTCGATCAAGAACATTTTTTCAACATGCTTCTTTGACTTTTTTTTTTGTCACTGAGGTCGAAATTGATCATCAACTATTAGAAAGTCGAATGAATGTTCCGAAATCAATTTCGTTCATACAAAATTAATTAGTTGTATACCCTGATTAAGGCTTTACAACTTAAAAGAGAAGGTTGATTTTATATGGTTTGAGTTGTAAAATCCTTTAATGCCAGGATTGATACATTTCTTTGTATTCTAAAGGGACCCAATTGTCTTCCCTACCTGATGCAGCCAAGAGAATACAGTCAACTACCAAGGATCCATCCTTGGAACCTCAGCTAATGCTATTGTGTCCTATAGAGTCATGTGATTTATTATGGGCTATTGATATCAGCCCAAAACATATATTTACAATTTTTTCTCAAACAAATATTCCTAATTTTCATAGTCGGCTGCGATCCTCACCTTTTGGAACTGGCTAGGAATTGACTGTAGGGACTGCATTTTTTTTCTTCAAAGGCCTCATTTCTTTTTCTGAAAACAGAATGATGGGCTTTACCAAAAAGCTGTAATTTTGTTTCGTCTGTCCACAGCACATTCTCCCAAAAGGATTTTGCCTTCCCCAGGTAAGTTTTTGGCAAACTTCAATCTGGCTTTTTTATGTTTCTGTGTCAGCAGTGGGGTCCTCCTTGGTCTCCAGTGCATTATCTGACATAAATGCAAGGGTGCCAATATTTGTGGCCATGACTGTATAGTATGAATCCATGATGTCTTTATTGATAAAAAAAACCCAATGAGGTCATATTGACAGCACTGTTATTGTGACGTCCTAAAGACACAGTGGAGATCTTTAGACCCTGACCTTTTGGCTTATAGTGGCACCTTTTAAAAGTAGGACGCTAGGCACAAAATACAAAACAGCCTAGAGCCGGCCTCTGCCACCCCAGTTTGCGGGAGGCTCCGAGCTGGATTTCTCTGTTGGGTTGGAGATGGAGAGGTAGGTGCGGTCTGTGAACAGCGGGGCATGGCACATGCTTCGGTCATGTTCCTGTTTTGATCCGCTTGGCTGTGGCCGGCCGCTACTTTAGGCCGCAGATTGCGGCATGTTTGTGGAAAGCGTGGCCCCATCTTTATGAGTGACTGCTCTTCTCTGGGAGTTTGGTCATTTCCTCCCTCGCGTCAAGGTTGAGATCTGCTCGGTGTGCGGTACGGGGTGGTCCTCTTCTCCCTGGGACACTACTGGGTGCCACGTGGTCTGCTACCTGGGACACGTACTGGATGTCTTTTTTCTGGGCCATGAGTATGCTGCCTGCTGCGGTTTTGAGTGAGACCATGGACCGCAGGGAGAAGGTTTCATGGACCGCAGGGAGAAGGTTTTCAGCGGTGTTGTGTGGGGGGTACGGTCACCCCCGTGAAGGCTGCATCTCTGCCCCAGTCCCCCATTGCTCCCTTTGGGCCCTCCTTCAGGGGCTGCAGGCACTTCAAGTTTGTCGCTTTCCTTTGAGGCATTCTCATCCGCCATGTACAGATTTGTATCATGACATAAGCGTAAGCTGTTGCAGAAGGCCGCACGAAAGCGTCTGCGTCCGTCTTTCCCTGCTCCCTTGGAAGAGTTGGGGTGGGCCTCAGCAGCATTGGACCTGCCTGATTCTGGGAAGTGCTTGCAGGATGGGTCTGGCAGTGACGACGGCTTCGCTCATTATTCAAGAGTGAGAGTTGCTTTCTGCGCTCATTGGCTCAGTCAGGGAAACGCTAAAAATTGAGGATGCTCTTAGCTCCTCAGGGGGGCTCCTCCGGTTCCATTTGGAATGCATAAGCTTTGCCGTTCGGCCAATGTATTTCTGTACATTTCCTCCTTTTGATGATTTTATCTACAAGCAATGGCAATGTCTCACCAAGTCCTTTTCAGTACCCAAGCGTTTTTTTTGTCTTGTACCCCTTTAAGGAGTCATTCATGAAGAAGAGGTCCTCACCGCCTGTGGTGGACCCGCCTGTTTCGCATCTTAACAAGGCAAGGGTCATTTCTGTTGAGGACTCCCCTCCTTTCTAGGCAGAACCTACATTTGCAGGCCATGTACATCGTAGCTGGAGCTCTAATGCATCCGATTTTGGCTTCTGCTTTGGTCTCTCATACCTTAACAGAGTGGGCCACGTTGTGGCACCAGGGCCTGGCCAATGAACAGGTCTTGTCGGCATAGGTCAAATTGGCGGAGCAATTGCTGCTATGTCTGAAATATGTTTGCAAGGATGTGCTGGATGCTGGTCCATTGGTTTCCAAGCGGTCTGTTTCAGCGGTCATCCTTCACAGGATGTTCTGGCTTAAGTGTTTGTCCATTGACCAGACCTCTAAAAAGGCTATTACTGAATTGCCTTTTACAGGGGATCACTTGTTTGGAGCTACGCTGGATGAGATTATTTTGAACCGGACTGGGGGTAAGAGTACCTTTTTTGCCTCAAGCCAGAAAATCCAAGGATCGGGGCTGCAAATCTGGTCCGTCCTTTTCAGCCCACAAATGTTTTTTTTTCTGCCCTCGATCTTCAAGGCTCTCTGGCAGTCCAAGTCCTCT